CAAAATTGACTTGCAGAACATATAAATTAGCACGGACGGAATTGACCCAATAGCGCCGCAGAAAATCACTGGCCCTGATAACTTATCTGTTAATCCGCTTCAGTTTTAACTTTTAAGTAAGTTACCTAAGTTTCCAAAAAAGAAAAAAACTCAAAGTATCGTGTTTCAGAAATGTAGTAATTTCGAATGTTAACATGGCAACCCACCCACGGGTGTTATAGGTGTTGAAATGTCGATCAACCGACTTGAAATTAGCAATACCGTTTCTGGTTCGTACTTTCGTATATGGCTATTTATACTCTTTTTATTATATTCTAATTTCTTGTATACGTCTGAAGAGCCTGATCTCGAAAATCTGAGTTTGAAGGATGATTTTGAAAAGTTCGCAGAAAGACTAGAACTCAATAAATTCACAGAAAATAAGAATGAATGGAAGAAATTTTACGGTACGTAATAAGTTTGATCCAGTTTGATTTCATTTTTATTAACACATCCTTTGTTTAGACTTTGCCGGCTTAGGTTTCGTTTGGCCCTCAACAAACATTAATGAACGTCGCTTAATTTTTGATTATGTTGTCGATCCAGATTGGGACCCAATTGGGGAGGAACTCGCCGCAAATATTGTCGTTTACTCAAATCAAACACTCTTGATTCATCACAAGGTACACATATACTACTCGTTCATGGGAAATTCGTTAGGTATGGATCAAGTGAAGAAGAAGATGAGCTGTTGAAGGAATATCCGGGGTGTTATTTCGTACCTGTTGAAAAACGTATTGTTGAATTGCGTAAATTTTCAACAATTGATAATAATACAAATAAAGAGTGGCAGGTTCGTATTGTTTACAGTATAATTTATAAGGTCATTAACAGGTATCTTGTGCCTGTCAATGCCCTAATAAGAATGGATTCTTTTGCCAAATATAGGTGCATATTTGCCTTCGAAATACGGTAAATGCTCTGGATGAAGTGGGAATGGCGCGAATGTCAAGGTTTCAGAAATGTAATCGATACAGGTGCAACAATGACTGTAATCCCATATTTCGTAAGACAAAAGTTATATAGTAGACAAGATGGTTGGAAAACAATTCCTATTGAAGCTTCTGGATATAGTGATGGCGTTAAAATTTTCCAGGCTTCAAGAGATTGGTACATTTGTCTAGGTGATGGGACCAACTGGTCTGGCTAGGTTAAGACCAATGAGATTTATTCATGGCAAAAGATCCAACTAATGTCAATTGTGGCTTAATTGGTTACGACGTGCTAAATAATATTCCTCATTACAAACCCTGTAGGCAACCCTATACATTTCTTAAAAACGATATTTTCGATCAAATACAATTATTACAACAATCCGAATGAATGTTTTTTTCTTTAAAATGAGAATTTCTATCTCTTACAGCTATTATCATAATTCCTGAAACACCTGATAAAAATTAGCCGAATGATTTTTTGGCCGATTCGGTTAAGTTATAGATTTCGGGAA